GAGAGAGAGAGAGAGAGAGAGAGAGAGAGAGAGAGAATTCTGCGGGAGCTTTCTTGTCTGAGGTTCTGGGCAGGTGTTTGGATGAAACTTCGACTCAGCGGGTCAAGATGACCCAGGCCCCTCTCAGGGGACATGGAGGGATGGTGTCTGTGATCCCAGCCAGAGTCACTCACCGTGGTCACTCTGGTTGTAGTAGTGGAGCAAGGTCCTCAGGTTCACTTTGAAGTACCTCCCCATGTTCCTGGCTTTCCCAGTCTCCCCCTCCCAATACTCCGGCCCCTCCTGCTCCATCCACGGCGCGCGTGGCTCCACCCTCGGATTCTCCGCGTCGCTGTCAAAGCTCACGAACTGCGTGTCGTCCACGTAGCCGACGATTATGAACCGGGGCTCCCCGAGGCCGGGCCGGGACACGGCGGTGTAGAAATACCGCAGCGAGTGTGAACCTAGGGTCAGCTCGCGGTGAGACCCCGACCTCCTCCAGGCTCAGGGTCCCAGGTGAAGGCAGGGGAGGGACTAGGACAGGGCGGCGGAACTTGGGGGGTGCTGCACTCCTGCCACCACCACCCTCCCTCCACTTTTCCTCGCAGAGTCCTTTTCGCTCCCAACCCCTCCCCCCACTTACCTCTCTGGGTCAGGACCCTGGCCAGCAGTAGGAGCAAGGAGGCTAAACGTAGTGACATCCTCACACCCCGGGGTCTGTGAGGAGCCTGAATGTGGATTGTGTTCCTGTTGACTCCGTACTTTAGAACCTGTGCGTCGCTGATTGGCTTCTTTAGAAACTAGGCGTCCAGCAGGAATGAGAGTTGAGACTGCATCATTTGTCTCTTTATGAAAGAGAAAGCAGTAGGAGCTTTTTGTATGACCTGCTTTCACTGAACTGTCTTCTCTGGCGCTTAAAGTTATTGGACACAGTTTCTCCAAGTCTTGTTGCAGAGTCTGTGTAATCTTCCGCTTGATTAATTAGTTGATTAATTAACTTTACATCCTGACCACAGTTTCCCCTTCCTCCTCTTTTCCCAGTCCTTCCCCTAACCGTCTATCCCCCCATTTCTCTTCAAAAAGGGGGAGGCTTCCCAGTGGGTATCAGACAGCCCTGGCATATCAAGTTGTAGTTATTCTATAAGTTTGTTTACATGCGTGTGTGTGTGTGTGTGTGTGTGTGTGTGTGTGTATAGATGAGTGCAGGGCCTGAGGAGGACCAAACAGAGCATCAGATTCCATGGAGCTGGAGTTTCAGGTGGTTGTGAGCTGCCGAATGAGTGCTGGGAACTGACCTCAGGTTCTTTGCATGATCTAGGTATGGTCTCTTAACAGCTGAGCCATCTCTCCATCTTCTCCTTCCACAGAAGGATTCTGTTTAGTACTCAGTTCTGTGTAAACATACAACAGTGTAACTTGACAAATGGTAGTTATTAGATGGTTGGTTATGATGTAACTCCACCATGGAATGTTTCTATCTCCATATGTTAAACCACCAGATCATCAGAAAGGTAAATACAGTATGTGTTCACTTATATGTGGACATTAGCCATTAAATAAATGGTAGCCAAGCTACAGTCTTTAGACTCAGAGAGGTTAGGCCTAGAAGAAGAGACACGAGGATCTCCAAGGGAGGGAAAACAGTATAGAGTTTATGGCTGGACTGGAGACAGGAGCAGGATGATCAGGTGGGGGGAGGGCAGGATGAACATGTGGCAGGGGGAGGGGAGAAGAAGTTGAGGAACAGAGTATGGGGAGAGACAGCTAGACTTGGTACCCATGACTTCTCGGTGTCACTGCAAAATTGAAGAAGAACTCTTCCCGATGGAAGAGTTGAGGCTGAGGAAGGCAGCATTTGACACACACCTCAGTGGCCCAAACTGGATTGTTTACAGCACCTGTGCAAAGCTGATCCAACAAGGGCCATAAGAACTGCATGTGGCTCTGGTCACACTGCAGGATGCACTAGTGTGTGTGAGCCGCAGTGGATGTGGGAGGCACTGGAAACCTGGTGGTGTGCATCTCCCTGGTAACCAAATACACAGGCTCTTAGAGCTCACTGAAGCAGGTGCCTTGGAGAGACACTCAGGACCCAGTTAGGCGAGCTAGGAAACACACGATTGGATCCGTGCAGAGCAGCAGTGCCAGGACACAAAACCAAAACCGTTGATGGTGGCAAGTTTATGAAGGGTCTAAGGTTCAGTGGCAACTCTTACAAATGGTGTGCCAAGAGTCTCCCGGCTGGAAATGGGTAGTGGCAGGGGCACAGAGTAGTATTCTAGTGACAGCTTTAAAGTCTGAGTACCTCAGGGCTTTCTGGCTCTCTGACCTGTACTGAAATGCTGATGGTAACTTGTAAAAAGTCCTAAAAACCTTTTTCTGAGGATAAAAGACTGCAGGTTTGGGTGGTCAATACTTGTAGCCAAACAGCAGAGGATTAGGCAATGTGGCCTTTGTTCTATTCAGCAGTAACTGTTGTGCTCTTACTTTCAGCCTGTTAGTCTGAGGTCACAGGAAGAAAACTTAGAGAAGTTATAAAGTTTATTCCTAAGTGTAAAAAGTTTTCTATGAAAGCTATCTAAGGGGAAAAACAGAAATGTCCTAAGTGGGGGAAAGGAAAAAATTCTAATAAGGGAAAAATTCTAAGGGAAAAAATTCTAGGCAGAGGAAAAGGAAGGGAAGGGACGAATGACCATCTCTGTCTTTGTCTTCAGTACTTAACATCTTTCAGAATACCTGATCACATGTTACAAAGTTCATCACAAGTTCACACCAAAAATCAAATCATAAATTGAAATAGAAGTTTACAACAGAGAATGTTTACATGCATATCCACTAGGAGTAATTATCTGGCTAAACATCCGTCATCTGTCTAGCTCCACAGGTTCACTGAAGGTTTAAAACTGTAACTAAGTTATTAGCGAAGTTTTGTATAGATAAACCTAGGCAATATTTTATCTTCTGTCCTAGCACCTAGAATAAATCATTAGTTCCCTTTTTATGACCTTAGGTTAATTGTTTTACAACTTCTGGGAATGTGCTCTGAGTAGGAAAAAGTCTGGTTACTATCTAAGAGCAACTAACTGATGACACTTGGAAGACTGGCAGAGATCTCATTGCAGTTCTGACTATCAGAAAGGGACCTAATAGCAGTCCCACTATAAAAGAGCTTAATAATCAATGATATAATTTTAGGAACTCTTACAGGATCATCATTAAGACTTAAGAAGTCATCTATTTGTCTATATAACATCACCACAAGACAGTACATCTTCATGGATCTGCAGAGATCTGCTCCAAAGGGGTGTGCTACTGCTTAGTGATTGTTATGTTTGTTTAATAATAATAATAGGAAAAGCATGTTAATAGCAGGAATCTTTCCTAAAAATGAGTCCCTTACAGCCTTGCTGAATAAGGTCGCACCTGTCACAGATTATATAATAATCCAAGGCAGGCCATTTCAGTATGATCAGCTGGTAACTATTAGCTTGTCCATTATGACTCCTGACAATGGTGGAACACAGAAAGTGGAAGCGATCCCCCTGGGACTGTCTACATTCACAGCCTGAGGACCCGATTGAGTGTGACAGGGACACTGTGGGAGGATAGGAGCCATTTTATCTTCTATAGTATAAAGACCCACTTATTCTCCATATTGGAGTACCTGCATGTGTATGGTACAAATAGGGCAGCAGATAAACACTGCTAATCATTTGTTTGGTCTGTATTAAGCAGCCCAGACCAGAGGTTCCTGCTGCAGGACATGATTCACAACCACAAACTGACTAGAGCCAGCCGTGTGGCAGGACTCAGCTCTGGAATTCCTCACTCTCCTGGTTGGTGGAGATAAACCCTAAGGCAGATTTTAGGGCATGCATCTGTTGTTACTTCCTAGGATGTGATCCTGAGAACCACACTCTGTAGAAATCAGAAAGAGAATTCACAGAAAGTGGTTGAGGCCCAGAGCTCACCCTCCAGCCTTCAAGGACTCCCTAGAACAGGATGAATTTGTTTTGTAAGCCTGTGTGGCTAATTGTCTCCATGAAAGCCTTTCAGCCAGGAGCAAACTGCCACCTGGTGGCCACCCTGAGAAACAGTTGTCTTGCCTGGCTCTGGATGAGTTAGTTCTCTGTTCAAAGTTCATGGTTGTGTCCTGAACTATTATTATTTTATTTTATTACTTTATTTAATACTTTCTTTCTACATCTATCTGTCTATCTATCTATCTATCTATCATCTATCTACCTATCTATCTATGTATCTATCTATGTATCCATCCATCCATCCATCCATCCATCCATCCACTCTGTAGACAAGGGTGACCTAGAACTCACAGAGATCCACCTGCCTCTGTCTCTCGAGTGGTGTCATTAAAGCTGTGTGCCACCAAGATCCATCAACAAACATTACTTTTATAGACATGACACATTTGGAGTTGTAAAGGGACCTGATCCTAGGGTGAGTGACCTCATTATCTTGTAACAAATGTCATTGCCTAATGCCAGCCACAGTCTAAGTCAGATGGCAGATACCTCAACTGGTCCACAAGAACCTGATACTTCCAGTTGTCACTTCTTAGGTGGG